ACACTATTTAGTGATATTTCTATATATTATGGACACACTGAAAAAAAGTGACTAATGACTGTAATGACTGTAAGTGACAATACCTGACTAAATTCATTCAATTTGAACATTTGTATTGAAAACGATAGTTTGTGACATTTAATCTATCGCTTGACTGTATGATTACTATTGGGTGGACCGTTCTCTGAGACTTGAGGATATCATTCAGGGAGGATGTTTTTCTGATAGACTATACTGGGATGAGAAACTTTTGTTCTACAACTTTTTTCAAAAAGATGAAATGCGATCCGGCGGACGATTTTATTTTCCTATGAAAAATCGATTTTTTTCATCAATTTCACGTGATTAAATCTGTTCGTCATAAACTAGCTACTGACGAAGTTTCAAGCGATTCGGTAAAAAATATAAACATTTTTCACACAATTTTTTGAATTTTCACACAAATTTCATATAGAGAAAAATATTTGACTCGCACTTGCGGTGTTGGCAGAGCATCTACTCCTCAAAGTGAGCTACGCACTCTATTTTACTTTACAGAGACATGTTCTTAAATTTTCTGCAATTTTCTAATGCCATATTGAAACTATTTTAACAAAAAATACAAAAAAGGTTCCAAAACTGCACTGTACACTCACTACTTCTCTGCTAACTGCTATTTGGTACATACAATACACTGATATTTAATTTTAATGTTACACACACAGCGCTGTCATTGATATATTTTTAAATTGGTGATTTCATTTTCCATGGCGTAATCTGTATTCTCATTATTTAACATCAGCACTTTTCATGTTTTTTAGGTCGCATAGATGTAGTAAAATATTTAATCGAGCATGGAGCGAATGTGAGCGCTGAAAATAGATGGAAAGAAACTTCACTTCACAAAGCTGCAAAAAATGGTTATTAAGAAAAAATACTTTTCAGAAAGTTTGTTTTCATTACTTTTCGTGTTTTCTAGGTCATCTAGATGTAGCTAAATATCTTATCGAAAAAGGTGCCAATTTGAGTGCTGAAGATACACGGACACAATCACCACTTCACCTGGCTGCTTTTCAAGGTAATTGTTCACTTTTCCAAACGGGAACGTGCTTACTTTTCGTGATTTTTAGGTTATAAAGATGTAGTCAAATATCTAATTGAACATGGAGCGAATGTGAATGCTGAAGATGAAGACAAAAGAACGCCACTTTATAATGCTGCTTGGGATGGTAATTCCCAAATTAAGAAGAAATACGTTTCAATACAGATTATTTCCATTACTTTTCGTGATTTTTAGGTCATACAGATGTAGTCAAATATCTTATCGAGCATGCAGCGAATGTGAATGTTGTTGATACAAAGAATCAAACGCCACTTTATAAAGCTGCTGAATGGGGTAATTGTTCTTTTTTTCAAACAAAGAAGAAATGGGTTTCAATAAAGTTTATTTCCATTACTTTTCCTGCTTTTTAGGTCATACAGATGTAGTAAAATATCTAGTCCAACAAGGAGCGAATATAAATGCTCGAAATAATGCGAATAAAAGGCCACGTGAAGTGGCTCTAGAATATGGTAATTTGGCCAGACACTTCGAAATAAAAAAAACGCTATGAAGTTTAATCACAAACCATTATAGGTAATGAGGAAGCAGCCAAATGTCTATTGGAATATGAGAAAATCCTAAAAGTCAAAAATGGTAATTATTATTTTTTTCAAATTAAGCCAAAATAGAGTCAAAAAGAAAACTGGATAGCTACATATTTCTTAGAAGGGAAAAAATTAAAAACAGACAATATATTTCAGCCAGATATCGTCAGGAGCTGAAATTGAGTGAAAACAAAAGAAGTGATTTTTATGGCTATAATTACATTTATATTACTACAATCAAGAATCATATTTATTAAAAGAATTACAATCACTTTTATTGTTTTCACTTCATTTAAGCTCCTGACGATATCTGTCAGAAAATACCACAAGTTAATGTCTGATTTCAGCTAATCTGTATGATGTCATACACTGAAATGGAGTGAAAACAATACAACTTGTATTATACAAGTGATTGTTATATTGTTTGTAATATCGGAAGTGTTTTGAAAACTATAACAATTATCTCTATTATTTTCGCTTCATTTCAGCGCCTAATGTCAGCCAGATGAGCTGAAATATCCGATTTACAATATCCAAATATATTTGCTGAACGAATATCTACTGATATTTTTAGATATTGATTCTCAAATTCAGTAAATATAGTCCTCTGTTTTGTGATTAAAAATCATAAATATTCCAAAAGTCACAATATTTTAATGAATGTTTCAAAAATGAGTCAAGATTCTTTCATATTCAAAAATCGATTTCAAAAGATTTTGAAAGATGTGAAAAATTTGAATTATTTTTAGACAGACAATACAATTCAACTTTGAAAGAAAACTGCTCAGTTAGTCACTAAATATATGGTGTCAAACTTATGGTGCAGTAACTGTTTTGTCATTTCCATAAAAATAATTGATTAAAAACGTAATTTTATTTGATTTTTGTTTCGGAATTAGTGTGCAGTCAATTTCCCACAGTTCAACGAGTCACATCATATCTTACACAAGGCGATTTTGCAGAAGAGGGCGAATTCCCCTGGATGGTGAGATTAAGTTTTCATTTTTTATTTATTTTCGTAAAATTGAATGCATTTTACTTTTATGAAAAGGCTGCTTTAGGTTATAACGACCATTTGAAAATAAGTTTTGGATGCGGTGGTACCATAATATCGGAGCGCTATATAATGACGGCTGCACATTGTATAAAAGCAGGACGTCCACCGGTATTAGTGCGATTGGGAAAAGTGAGTGATATGCATATACACGGTCCATTAAAAGTGCTTTGTTTGACATATTTTTTTTTAACCATTTTCAAAATAGATAGATCTTACCGATGAATCTCCATCAAATTATCGAACAAATTATTATATACAAGTAATTAATACTCATTCAAAATTTATTGTATAACACACTTTTTCTTAAAATTGTTTTTTCCTCTTTTCTCTTCAGAATTTCACACGACATCCAAATTATTCGATGAACATGGAAAAGAACGATATTGCATTGCTTCGACTCACAAAAAAGATTTCGTTCAACAATAACATTAGACCGGCATGCTTGCACACAGATATGGGTGATATCGATAATCGTACAAAACTAACTGTGACAGGCTGGGGCATCACTATTCCTGGAGGTTGAACTGTTTCAGTATAAAATACTTTATTTTTCTGTACATTACATTAATCCATCTTATTCGCTCTCTATATTTTTAACTTTAGATCCTGACTCTCAATCAAATTTGTTACTTAAGATTGAGATTAATACAATGCCATTAAGTGAATGCAACACAACCTATTTGAATCATGATACACTGAAGACTCAAACGGTCTTTCGAGATGGTCTTGATGACGGGCAGTACTGCGCACATGATCTAGATGGACAAGACCCTTTTATAAAGGACGCTTGCCAAGGAGATAGTGGAGGTCCACTTGCACATATCCCCAACAATGATCCGAATGAAGCCACAATAGTTGGTATCGTTAGTTTTGGCCATAGTTGTGGTTTGAAATTGCCCGGCATTTACACGCGCGTCGCTCATTATATACCATGGATTCAATCCATCGTCTGGCCATAAAATTAACATTTTTTAGCACATTTTATCACGCTTATTTAATAAATCATTGATAATTATCAGTTAACTGTCTGAAAAATAAAATGGCTTACATCAGCACTGTGATCCCCGACATGCATTTATTACATATCTTTTACTGTAAATTTGAATTCACGAGAAAACTGAATAATAATTTATGACACACTTTTCATACAAAAATGACTAAAAATGGGAATTTTTGTATGGAATCAATGCCTGTATGATATCGTAATGACGTGAAACTTTGCACAGAGTATTTTTTTTCACAAAAAGCTAACATTCTGAAAGTTTAAAAGTTCCGTTTTTAAGCGAAAAATTCAAAATTTTGTTCGGGAGGTACCCCTAATATGCGTTGAAATGTCTTCAAACTTTCGGAATGGTATTTTCGTGTGATGAAAATAACCTGTGCAAAGTTTCAGCTCATTACGATATCATGCAGACATGGCTTCCATACAAAAATCCAATTTTTTTGAAATTTTTGTATGAAAAGTGTGTCGAAATTCATTTGTATCTCAAAACTAATATCATATTCGGTTTTTTCGTGTCAAAAACCCCCCAATACATATTTTGAATGTTTAAGTACACATAAAATACAACTTTTGGGTACGCACATACATTCAGACATCGAAAAAACGCTAGATTCGTATTCCCCGGAAACATCCAGAAAACACGTTTTTGAGGGGTGTCCATTTTTCAACCGATTTCAATACTTTACCTTACACGAAAAAGTAAAAATGTTTCACGAAAATGTTAAGTTATGTTTATTGATCATTTAAACAGGTGTTATGGCGTTTAATTACCTCAAAATTGGAATAAAGAATAAGTCGAATGAAAAAAAACATCTGTTAAATTAAAACCATGTTTATTTAACCCAATCTAAGTCTCGCTTGAAATTTTATTTCATTTTGAAAATCACAATAAGTTAAAGTTTAAAGGTATAGTTGAACTGATTGAAGTTTATTTTTCTGCTATGTGTTACACAAAACGTTGTTTTAAAGTTATGGATTACTTGGATCTATCGGGTTCTGATCGCTTATTAATTTCTTTTTGAATTCTTCAAATGATGTGAAAATCCATTTCTGTTTATCGTCATCTAAATTACATTCAGCAACACTGACCAACCATTGGTCTGTCGATAAACACAGGTCGCTATCGAGATGCCGAATTTGAAGTTTCTAATAATAATAATAAAATTTTTTGACTTTAATCTGTCTAATAAAAAGAATGGCGCATTTTGATTACTTTTTCATCATAGAACCATTTCTCGCCGGTAGTGGCATTGCATTCTTCAAGGACGACGTGATTTGTCGTATCCACGCCAAAAGTTAAGATATTCGGATCGTTCAATAATTTATCGCTCGCAGATGGTTCAGTGATATTTTCCTTCTTTGCCAAACCCAAACAATCAGAATGATGAAATACGATTCGCTGATTTTTTTGATATGCAAATCCCTGACTATACCCATTTCCTTCAAAAAAAAAAAAAAAACAAAAACAATTGAAAACTGCGATGAAACACTGAATTTGATATATCCATTACCATGGCAAGCATGTATGCCAATTTGACGATTACTTTTTCGTCCCATACGATCGAGACAGTATTTTGTTCCAAATAGTTGAATCTATTTAATCAAGATGCAAAATATATTTTTTGCTATGAATTGAAAAGCGAATGAAGGTAAAAAAAGATACCTGTCCAATTTGCTTGTATCCAACAATCATAAGGCTTTCAGGAAGAACATTTTCCAAGTACCAGTGAAAACTTTTACACCTCAATTGATTTCGCAATGCCATTCGTTCGCTTAAATCGCCGACATTCATGTTTCTTAATTTTGCTTGAAGTATACAAAATATTTACAAAATATGTTTCTATGGCAAACAATATCTTCGATTATATTTACGTGGTGTAACGACATCGAAATATGGCTTATATTCATCCATCCAAACTTTTGAGATTCGAATATTATTTCGGATTTTGACCTCACTTTTGTCGGCCGCGTTGAATGTGTACGGTAAAGTTCGAAAATAGTGACCGACACGCGAACAGGGAACTATGTCAAGAGGATTATTAGAATTATACCTGAATTTATAAAATAATGAAATTTACCTATCTCAAGAGCTCCCCCGCACATCCAAGTCTAAAATATATCATAGACGTAACATTTACATGTTTTGCAATCAAAATCTCTTACTGTGCGATCATAATGAAATGTGTCCAGTGTGTGGAATCATGTGCTTACCCGAAGTGAAAGTTCCGTGTTCTCCCCACCCCAGATGCTCATAGCTGTGTCAAAAGTTCCAATTTCAAAGAAAAATTCACGATCACATGCAATTGCACAACCAATTAAAGCTGCAGTTCGGTACGGAGCCGTAACATCGCCTTTATTTCTAATCATTTCACGTTCTGGAATTGGAAACCTGCAAAATATTTCAAAAATTCACGGTTTTTGATGTTTTGCTGACAATTCAATTGGAAGTGTTTTTTAATGCATACGTTTTATAATAGAGATTCCAACCCAAACCGTACATCAGTCCTTCGTCAAATTCTTCGTAGGCCATTGTGGTGAAATTAACATTATCCACATGCGGAATTGCGATCACAGATCGATCTGATGCAATTCGTGAGAGTAAAGGTTCCATCCAACCGTCATTTGATTCAGTGTTTCCATCCAAAAAAATTAACACTTGTCCCTATTCAATCAAATGGAATTTATGTAAAAAACGAAACGACGATTTTACAGCGATCAAATTACTTGTGCTGTTTCTGCTCCAATGACACGTGCACTAATTAAACCTTCTCGTTTTTCGGTTCGTACAAGTTTGATTTTGCTCGATACGCCAGCCAAATACTCTTCGAGTGGTTCTTTCATGTGTGGTTTGTCACTGAAGTCATCAACCAAAATCAATTCTTTCAGAAGATTATCCGGAGATCGATTGATCACGCTCACAACAGCTCGTTGTAAAATTGAAAAAGCCTCATTGTGAACCACCATGATCTAAATAAAATAAGCCCTTTAATCTTCTTCCATTCCTTAAAAATGTAATTAACGAGCAAGAAAATACATACAACGCTGGCAGTTGGCAATAATTTTGGGTACATTATATCCGAGCATTTCGGATCACGTAAATCGGGTAACGAACGATTTGCTGCAACTCTTTCACTTGCCACAATATTTATCTGATACTCAGCGAATGAGATATCGGCTAAATCTTGTAAAACTGGTGAAAGAATTATTGGTTTTCCTACAAAAAATATGAACGAAAAAGCAATTGAAAACTACTGGTATTGAAACACTGGATTTGATATCACCTTGTTCTCCCGGCAGATCAAATTTTGCTATGATTCTCGATTTTGGAGTGTATGTTTGAAGATCGAACATGTCATAATGTTTATTGATTTGGAATGGCCAACCGGTGCGAAGTCCATCCTCGTTATAATTCATTAAATCCTTTTGAACAACAATGTTTTTCCGCCTAAAAAATCGTGTGTTAAGCACCATTTTATCGAACAGAAACATACAAATGAATAAAACTAGTATGATTTGTAGGTATATTGAGCTACGACGTTTCCATTTTAATACTTTGAAATAAAAACGACGAATATTAAACATTTTTTCACGAAAAATCTTTTAACGGCGATCAAAATGATTGGATATAGAAAAATTGAGATAATTTTCTAAGAGTATATTTTGAAGCAACTGATCACACAAATGTCTTTTTTGGTACTAATTAAAATTCAAATATTCTGTAAAATTGTAGTCCACATTTGAGAATCTTAAATCGAACTCCAATGTTTAGTCAGATGATTTATCTATCATAAGTATTTAGTACAATTGGAAACAGATTCAGAAAACGGTGCTTTACTTACCTAATTTACGAGAAAAAAAAAAACACAAATTAGATTTTGTAACAGACGATTTCAACAGACTCAACCAAACATTATGTTTTAAAATTTCATTTTACCTGGTGCAGTGGTGTTTGAGGTCAGATTTCTAGGGGAAGTTTAATTGTGGAAAGTCTATTCTATCTAGTGTAAAAAGTTTCACGGGCAATAAAAGGTCTTTATTTTTTTCAGAGAAAATTTTTGCCAAATTGAAAGTTTTTTTTCACTCGCAGAACACTATCAAAAAAGGGCTTTTCATGCCACTCCATTAAAAATTTATTACGGGAGGCCAAAAAATCTTAGAAAATCGAAAAAAAATTAAGGAAATTTTTTCTACAAATTAAAAAAAAAAAAATCTCCTCAAAAACACTAGCAAATTCAAAGAAGTTTCCGAACGTCGTGGGGCGCAACACTCCTCCCCTTCACACACTACCAATGTAGATATTTTCAGCCAGAGCTGATTGAGCTGGATTCAATATCTAAATATAATGTCTGGAGTTAACGTTATTTGACCCAGTTCCTAAGTTAAAAATGTATATCAATACGGCTTCGAAATCGAAAAGACTGTCGGCTGAATAGTCGATCGCAGTAGTTTTTCATTATGATATTTAATGATATTGTAATAATTTTTGTGATGTATAATAGATGATGAATAAATAAATAAATAATAATCAAATATGTTTATTTATTTCTTTTAAAACCAGAAAACTATGACATTGTTGAAATAGTAAGACATATATTATAGTACATAATTTACAAACGAAAATCAAAATAATAAATTGACACTGATTGCTACCAAAATGTTGACTTTTTTGTCATATAACGACACGTGCACAAATAGATGATTTCATAAAAAATGGCAAATAAAAAAATATTTCAACGATCTTCAGAAATGCCATCATTTCACCTCTTTATATTTGAATTATCAAGCAACAACAACGTAGACAGTAGACATAAAATTTACATTTCTTTATTTAAATAATTTAAATTTGGTAAAACTGTGCTTTATTGCAAAGCTTATCTCATCTTATTTCTAATTTCTGTTAAACTAGATTATTTTAAGTATGTGCAAAAAAAAGTTCATTAGATGAATAACTGCTTAATTTAGAACTGAAATTGTAATGTCTATGGACTGCCGCGATCAATTTGATTTGCTCGTGCCAATAAGTTCTTTTTGAATTCATCATAACTAAGAATTTTCCATTTCTGTCGTTCATCCTTTAAATTGCAGCGATCCACAACTGCCATCCAACCGTTTGTTTGCAAACATAATTTTGTATCCGTATGCACGATCTGATTATCCTGGTAAAATGAATAAATTGAAAATGAATATGAAAATTATATTTTTTATATATCCTGCTTACTGCTTCTATATACGACCACTTTTCGCCGTCAGTTGAATTACACGGTAAAAGAACGACATGATTGGTTGTATTCACATCGGGCGTCAAAATATTGGGATCATTTAATAACGATGTGACATTTGAAACGGTTACATTTTCCGGTTGCGCAATACTCAAACACGAAGACGGATGAAATACAATTTGGTGATTTTTTTGATAGCTAAATCCTTGGGTATAACCAATTGAATGGCACGAATGTATTCCAATTTGACGATTCGACTTACGACCAAGCTTATCCAAACAGTATTTTGTGTTTGCCAATTGAATGTTTCCAATTTTCTCCGGTTGAAATCCCATATTCGATTCGGGAAAAATATTGTTCAAATACCATTTGAAACTTTTGCACTGGAATCGATTACGAATAGCAATGCGTTGATCAATATTTCCGGCTCGAACATGTTTCAAACTCTCTAAAATTGATTATTACATTTATAGCATAAAGGGAAAGTTTTGATATTTGAAATGGCCATCGAGAACGTACGTGGAATGAGAGTATCAAAAAAAACTTTGTATTCATCCATCCAAGCTTCGGCTGTTCGAAGATTATTTTGAAGTTCGACTTCATCTTTTTCGGCATTGAAAGAAAATGGTGGTGGCCTGAAATAGTGACCTACTCGCGAACAAGGCGCAATTTCAACAGCTCCACCGCATAACCATGTCTATGAAATTAATAACATTTATAAATAAAAAAAAATTACATGTTTTACACACGCAAAATATCTTACTCGGAGTGATAGCTCTGCACTTTCGCCTCCGTAGATATTCATTTCGGTATCAAATGCACCAATTTCGAAGAAAAATTCACGATCAATTGCCATGGCACATCCAATAAGAACGGGCGTTCGGTAAGGGGCACTCTCATCACCTCGATTTCTTATGATTTCACGTTCTGGTTTTCGAAATCTACGAACAAAATAACCATAAAATAGAATGATTACACCTCAAATTTTGTATGATGCATACATTTCGTAGTGTAAATTCCAACCAATTCCATATATTGGACCCTCGTGGAACACTTTGTAAGCCATTGATGTAGTAAAAATATTATCGAGCTGCGGAAGAACGATCACCGATCGATCCGATGCGATTCGAGACAATAAAGGTTCCATCCAACCATCATTGACTTCAGTATTTCCGTCCATGAAAATCAAAACCTGACCCTATACGATTCAAATATACAAAATTCACCTGCATGCCCTTCATTTTCCTTAATATTCTTCCAAAAAAATATCACCACTTACTCGTGCCTTTTCCGCTCCAATCATTCGTGCTCGAATGACACCTTCTCTTCGAACCGTTCGTATGAGCTTTACTTTGCTCGATAGTCCATTCAAATATGCTTCTAGTGGTTCTTTTAAATCGGTTTTATCACTAAAGTCATCGACCAAAAGCAATTCCTCGAGCAATTCATCCGGAGATCGACTGAGCGCGCTCAGAATGGCTCTTTTCAAAATGGACAATGCTTCATTATGAAAGGCCATTACTATAGACACCGACGGTAACAACTTTGGATAAGTGATGTCCAAACATTTCGGATCGCGATAATCTGGTAACGAGCGATTCACTGCAACTCTATTACTTGCCAGAATATTTATTTGATATTCACTGTATGCATCGGAAAACTCTTCCAATATGGATGGAACTACAACAGGTTCACCTCCATCGCCAGGCAAATCGGATGACGATATAATCTTCCGCTTTGAAATGTACGGCTGAAGATCATTCGCATCGTAATATTTTGATATTTGAAATGGCCATCGAGAACGAAGGCCATCCTCGTTATAATCCAATAAATCGTCTTGTACAATTACTTTTTTCTTTCGAAATATTGAATTCCCACTGAATAAATCGTATAAGATTTTTAAAATAAATAAAACAATTATAAGACAGAATATGTTGCTTCGTTCAAATTTCCTGCCAATTGATCGAATCTTTCTACGATTTATAAACATGCCTGAAACTTTATTTTGAACAACTAACTACTAAATAAAAATGAAAGAGATTAACTTGATTTGGAAATGATACAATTTCAACTGAAACCTTCTATGACATGTGTTATATCTTTTATACGACTCGATAAAAGTGAATGTTAATCACGCACTGAGAAAAGACCGAGATATTTGATCAGATGTATTCTATTTGGTTTCTCTTTCTCTCTCACGGCAATATGTCGAGATACATATGTATATTTGTACAACCTGGCATCAATTTTATTTCATGCGTAACTGTTACTTAATGAATTTGCTTTTCTTTCTATCAAAACAGATCTAATATACATCTTCTTGATTGAATGGCCTTTTTTTGACTTTTCAACCCGAAGATTTGGAGAAATTCTCAACAGGAGCTTAATTTTGTCAAAACTTTCAATCGATTCTTTTTGAATTAAGACCTTTTTTAATTTTCAATATTTTCAATTACCGATACGATGAATTTTCATCCCAAATGTTTTTTCAAAGAGTTTTTTTCGTCGTTCACCGTTCAAATAAATTACAAAAAAAAAAAAAAAAAAAAAATTAAACCTATGGTTTATCAAGTGCACAAACCGACCACGCTAACTTCTAACATTGTTTGGTATAGAATAGTAGTAGCTCAACTTTTCGTAATGCTTACGCAGTGGAGAAGTGGAGACGGTCTGCAATTTAATATTCCATGAGAAATGAAAATTTTTATGAATGAAATTGCTTACGTTTGTTATATATTGAATATCATTTAACACCGGCAAAACTATGGCTTTGAACATGATACCGACCGATAGTTGTCTGGATTTCATTGAATTGTAAAAAAACATAGAAATCATCTCTCACTTCATCACTCCGTCACCATCTGGGAAAAGTTGTGCATTCAACACACTATTCATCTGCAGTCGAAAACAAAAAGTAACAATAGAGAAAATCCTTTATTCTGCAAAAGAATGGCAAAGTGAATAAATTTTCTATTTACAAAAATAAAAAAAGTGGAATTATTAAAAAAGAATTTGTTGGAAAAACAAAGTTACCTCCATTTTTGTCAACGTTGGGTCTATCTCTGTTATTTTTCCGTAATTCTCCGTCTTCAGTGTAGTGGAATGTGTCTGCATTCAATTTGTTTTTGCAATTAAATCTAGGTTGATAGTTTGTCGCCAATACCGGAGATCGAAATTTGTGAAACTTATTTGACAGTCACAAATTAGGGTCTCAGGGAATCAGCTACAACAAACACGATCCATAATTCCGCATTCTATTTCCAAACGGGTTTTCATTAGATGGAAAGAAAACTGCAACGGTTTTTGTTTCTTCCTTGTTTCATCACTGTAATAACAATGTAAGTGGAATAAAAGAAATTTCTTCTCCTGTTTCTCAATAATAAACTTGAATCTAACACGTATCAACGACGACGATGATGATGATGATGACGATTAGTATGTAATTTGTGTTATGCATTTGCTAAACTTTCACTTTACGTGCGTTTACCTCTCTCACACTCTCGACGGTATGCAATCGGTTGCCGTTACAATGTTGACTGTTGTTATAACGTGGCTGCTTTTTTCTCTTAAGGCCTGCGAGATTTTTAACGATTCGCAATTCCGTTTCGTATTTTTGCTTTTTTTTTGTCGCTGTCTCTCTCTCTCTCTCCTTTGTGTGCATGTTTATTGCATGCAGCTTTTGTCGTTCTTGTATTGCATCTCTCCGTTTCCATTTTCACATCTATTTTTATTCAAATTCAAATGTCGACAGTCTATACGGCATTGTCTGTGAAAATGCAAAAAGAATTTCACTTCAATTGATTTCACACTGGTGCGCCATACACAAATATCGTGCACGTATGTACATGTATTGCCTCATCCGAGAAGCGAAATCTCTGTTGCATTACAATGTATGCAGTGTGTAATCAAAAGGCGATCGACAATAGAGCGCACACCAACAACAACAACAATGAAATGAAAAACGAGTATTTAATGTATATGGATCGATTCAACGGCACGGTTAGATCATTCACATTTATAAATAATTAGCCATTGCGATTTATTTCGTCTCTTGTGGGAAAATTGTTTTTTCTTCTCTTTTTCATCTTCTTTGCAGCCGTCTAATATCTAATTCCAATTCATGATCGCGCACATAGTCACAAACGAAAAAATAACTATCTCTTTTCTATTGAGGACTTGTTTGCATTTTATTATCATTCGAATGTTGTATGAAGAGAAATAAAGAAATGAAAGAAAAAAATGGTTTTTAGTGTCAGTAACCGTTGGCTCCAAAAAGGGAAACGAAATGAATGAATTGTATGAAAAGCAAACGATTTTAATGTATAATTCTTTTGTCTATTTGGCTCGGTTCATTGAACGGATGTGCACGCTACCAAAAATTCGATCAAAAATGCCAAAAAAAAAATTGAAAAAAAAAAATGGAAATATAACAAAAATTCAAACTTACTGACAGGACGAGAGAGAAAATTGAGTGGCACCGGTGGTAATCAATATTTTCATTAGTCGGTTCGTTATATATCTATTAAAATCAAATTTCACAATCACACGTTTTCAAAATCACTCGGAAATGAAAAACTGAACGAATAATTTGGGCGAGCATAGCGCAAGTTAAAGAACAGTGTAATATAACATTTTTTGCAATGTATTTGTTGTAGCGAATATTGAAACCGTATATTCGCAAACATATACGTATTACGCTATTTGAAATGTGTAACATCATCTATGATGATAGATCACACACGTACAGAAATGGCGAAACGTGTGCGGGAAGCGAGCGCAAACTGTGCGCGCTCCATACATTCTATCTCATTCGCACTCGCTCTACGTTTGACGTTTGCGATTTGCTACGACATTTGTATTCGCGTTCATTGACCTTTCATTTCATTTGAACAGAGTACACAAGCGTGCCAGTACATTCGGTTCGATTTTATAGTGTATGTTTTGTGCGATTTTTTTGTTGTTGTTGTTTCGACTTTTCGATTTAGTGTGCTGTTTTCGCAAAATTTTATTTGTCATATTATGTTTTTGTTATTCTTTTTAAAACGATTCGTGTCATCGGTTTCTAATAGTATTTATTCTATATTGGTGCGTCCATTTGGTGTGATCGATCTTTTTCCAATATGTATATGTGTAGTGTAATTTATACAAACTTGAATAGTTTTGTGTAATGTAACGAGCAAAAAAAAGAAAAGAAAATAGCACACCGAATAGTTCAAGTTGAGAACAACGGCCTGAACGATCGGTGTTGAAGAAATTGGCAAAAGTGATGTGTTTGTTTGAATAAATAGCAGCCGCTCATCGTGTATACCGCCGCGTTCATGGTTTCAAGTTAATGAGTCAAACATACACCGTATATATCATATATATAAATGTTCCATTTGAGTGCGGCGGTGTTATGGCCGCATTAGTTTATTGTTGTGTGCACATTTTTTTCTCTTTAACAATGAAATCGTTTCTTTTTTTTTCAGCAATTAAATTGCCAGTGTGTATGATTTCAATGTTATTTTGTATCGAAAAAAAGTTTCAAAAAAGAAAAAACTCGGGACGATTGATATTAATTAATCAACCGAGATCGTTAATCGTTTAAATTGCGCACCGAAATTATCGAAATTTTATTGAATTCCAATCGAAAAGTGAATGTGATCAAATTTGGCAAATGATGCTGTAGCAAACGTGTTTAATGATGCTCGACCATTTTTGTGGTTGACTTTTGGGCGACCAGTTGAACAAAAACAATGTAGCGAACAATTTAATTGAGAAATTGATATGGGTTAAGTCACTAGAACATATGACATACCGCATTTTCAACCAACGCTATATTTCACAATGATATTCTGTATTGTTTTCAGATTACCCGAAAGCCATTACCATTCCAAAATATGAAAACTGGCTTCAGCTCACTCACTCAATTCAATAATTCTCTCTGTCTCTCTATCGTTATATCTATCTCTCTCTCTCGCTCACTTCATCTCTCACTCTGACTCTCGTTTATGCCAAAAAACTGTTCGCTGTGCAAATTTTATTTCATTTTCTTTTTCAATGTTATGCGAATTTGGAACACACGCACACATCCCCATTGTCCGAGTTATTTTTATTACGTATCTCTTTTTTGGTGTGCTCAAGTGGATGTAGCCTAGTTGTGTACTAGTTATGATGGCTAAACTGATGAATTGAACTTAATTTTTGCGCATAGATTTAAATTTGCGAATTAAAAAAAAGAGAAAGAAAAATACACACAGTCATACACACACACAGTCATACACACACACGGCATACGCGAAAACGAAAGAATCTAGGTCAGCTAATTCGATAACAGTCATAAGATACGTTTTTAAACTGAATTGCGGGCGCGAACAGTTTAGATGTTGTGTGTTGACTATTTTTTTTTTATGAAATTATGGCAGATTATGAGAGAGAAAGAAATTGGCACACGAATCATAAACGCGCGAAATAAAATAGCACAAAATCTAAGTAGATCAAGTTTGAACTTCCGTGAAAAAAAAACTATACGGGGCGCACACTCACTTATGCTTAATCACACGTACACTCATTCGCATTCTTCATTTCCAATGACGACGATCACTACGGCCCGCTTTTTGTACGTTCATTTGATGTGCTGTCAAATCTCATAACTACAACTTACTGGGATAACTATTCATTTCTTCAACTTTCTTTCCAATCTCCGATGGTTATGTCGTCATCGAAATTGATTCCAATCGCCACCAAATTCACAATGAAATACACTATTTTAAGTCGATTTTACTTTTTGCTTCGAATATTACGTTTAAACACACAATTACTTTTGTTTTAATGAATTTTTTCTTGCCAACAATGGAAAAAAGCGAAAAAAATTGTAAGTTATCATTGAACTTTTACACATTTTTTTCTCTTTCTCTTTTCGACATCGTGGAGACACAGCGATTTTAATACGTTAGTCGTCGTGGTTTTGCCAATGGCGCTGCCGGTCCTTTTCAATTTGATTGTTTTTTTTCTTACGTTTCGCTCTCTTACATACATGCACATCTTTTACTTGCCCATTGTGACGGTAAAGGAGAGAATGAACGACTAAAAAAAGTTATACTTTGACACACACGATGACAGTAGCACCGAATTTTGACACACAACCACACACGTTTTTAATTTCAATCGAAGAAAAAAAAACTTTCATCTTCGGCCATTTTTCTTGTCTTTCAATTCAAACACAAAAGAATTTTTAACGATTTCATTTTCGCTACTCGGCGTTTTTTTTCCACGACAGCCGAAAATTTTCGGCTCGAAAGCACATTTTTAAAGTTATTTCACTAAACTTTAGCCATTTTGCCACCATTTTTTTTCGGACCCCTTTTTTTTCTTGATGAATTTTTTTCAAGTGCGTCGATATCGCGTTATCGCCAGAAATAATCCTGCGCAATTCATGAATTTATGCAAATGAAATGCAATTTTTTCAATTTTTACTTGAAAAATGGTCAAAAACTTTAAAACTTTAACTTCTTGAAAAAAAAATCACCAATCCCAATCTCTTAATGGATCTATGTGCCATTGGGTTCCATGTGTCTGAAGAATTCCGCGATTTTTTTTTAAAAGTTACGTCAATCAAATTGGGCTCTTATCTCTCTGTTCCCGGCTTATTTTACCTAAAACGGAACTGATAGCACTTTTAGTTTGTACCGAATATATATATTGGACTCTCTTACACAACTACATACACGATACGCACACCGAAAACTAGTCAAACTAATTAGAAAATGTTCAGATATGATGAAAATCAACGCATTTTTCTGCAAAGATGATTTTTAATACAAAAAAAAAAGTTTTGTGTATCGGAAAATAGATGATTTGGTGGCAACACTTTCCGCTTGATGGAAATTACAAAATTGTGGTGCCCGTGTAGACAGCAGTCTTTCGATTGTCGTGTGTGTCGAATTTGAAATTGAAAAAAATAAATAAACGTTTCGATTGTGTGCCAAAAAAAGAGAGAAGAGAGTAGTATGTATGGAGAACGGACGGCAAAAAAAAAGAATTAGCAATCGTGAGCAGCGCTCTGAACTGAGTTGAGCTGTCACGTCACTTGTTTCTGGTGGAAAAAGAAAACGCAAACGTACGATTTATTCTTCTGCAACCTAAAACGATGTGTTTGTGTTTGAGTGTGTGTGTTGTCGTCACTCGTTTGTGCCTTTTTCAATTTTACATAGAATTTTTTTTTCTTTTAAATATTCATTCACATTGTTTCCGTGGTTTCTGTCTGCACGACGATAGAACATCATATTCTTTTAAAATGAATGAAATAAAAAAAAATCACACACCAACACCACGCAAATTATGAAGCAAAGTTTTAAGTCCAGAAATATTCGCAAATACATGTACGCATGCATGACGTTGAGTGGCAGAGAGAATGAGAGACAGTGACTAAGAGAAGCAGCGCGAGAGAGAGGCTAAAATGTATTTTGCACACTCGCATTCGAAAGCGGCAGTGAAACAATAACAAAATCAACGATGAGAGTTGGTGTTGAACGAACAAGAGTTTGTGTATGTGATAGAGCAAGTTAAGTACGATGTAAACGATTTCATGCCAATAGATGTGCTATAGCATACGAAATACACTTGGAACTTTGGATAAAATCATATACAATTTTTTTTTCTTGCTTTGAACCACACCACACTTTGACACAACCAACGATTTCAGATGCTGAACACAGTAATGGCACAACAATATACATGATGATATAGTTTTAATTAAACGAGTATCATTCGTTTTTGGCATTTTCATACTTATTTTTCTTACGATTTTTAAATTTCAGAAATATCATCACAGCCACATGAACACGCTTAGGGAAGATTGAACAAAGAATGTTTCGCACTGCAAGTGGTGGAAGAAAAACGAAGAAAACACAACCGACTCGTGTCTTATAATTTCTGCTATAGGGGTAATTAGGTATTTCACTTGGATTTACCACCAAATTGCTGTTCAATTTTAAAGTTCTCGTAAATCTGTTGTCAGCTGCATGACGGAAGCATTTAATTAGATAAAAAATATTCTCAATTTTTTTTGCCACAGATATTATGAAGCGAACTTTCGAAGACAGAGAGGAAGAGAGAGAGGAGTGTCTTATTTAACTAATTGAAGAGCGGGCATGAGGGATAGAGAAACTTAGATGCGCGAAAACTTTAATTTTCATCTGTAGATTTAATTATGGAAAATATACACCGTCGATGCAATTTGTAGGTCACAATTAACAGCAAAAATTACATGAAGAAATTTACACGATGCAACTCTAAAGCTTGCATACCATTTTTAACGGATTTAATTACTTTTCGGTTTGAAAGATCGATGCAGTAACGCTAGGATGCTATTTAATACGTTGCACGCTGTGAAAATGAACAAGGCAAAAGTATTTTCTCAGCTTTATAACATTTTCGTTTGCACCGAGAGAATTTTGCAAGTATGTTGCGATAAAGCGCTCGTCACACATTTGTAATTCCTATCTTTATATTTTTATTTCGGAATTTTTTTTTTTTCAAAGTAAAATTATAATTTTTATTGCGCCAGGGAAACATGCTTCGAAAATTACTATCCACAGAGACACACCATTTCTTCTATTGCACAACATGCAAGCATGGAAAAAAGTGCAACAAAAACTTTTTGCAGTTGTACGCGTTTGAATTTGAAATTGGCTCTCTCAAGTGAGATAGATTTTACAACTTCTTTTTATGAAATGATGCATGAGTGGGAACAAGGGAAAATTGGATGGAAAATAATAAAAATTACATTTTATAACATGTAGGTGGATAAGTCATGCTTGTACATTTTACAATGTTGTTTTTTTCTTTGCTTTTTGCATTTAACATTGCTGACCTGTGGAGTTCAGTTGGGTTATTCGGTTAAAACACTCATTTCAATTGCTCATTTTAACCCATTCACCGGGATTCATTTTTGCCAATATATTTTTTCTCTTTCATATTTTTTCCAGTCATCATTTCGATTATAAGTGATACAATCTATCGTTCGTTGTGGGTACTATTACGTTGAAGTATAATGATGAATTGATGATAAATAATGATGATATACATAAATAATTATTTATCTTATTAATAGAGGTAAGCATATCGAGTTGCCAATAAATAATAATATAGCGCATTCGCATTACAAGTTAGCAGATTGGAAATTTGAATTTTCTGTAAGTTACAATAAAATAACTTGGAAATCGACAGAAAATCATTTTTTTTTCAAGAAAGAAATACAGACTGAAAGTTTCATAACAAAAACAGTATACGAAAAATGCAGGTCCATACTTGTGAAATATGGAATACAAAAAGAATTAAATTTGCAAACTAGATTACATATTTGGAATTGATGAGAAAAATTACTCCAAAAACAGTTTTTGAACATATGTTCATAACATATTTGGAACTTTTTTTCGAATAGTTAAAATTTTAGGAAAATCAACATTTTTAGATGATTTCCGTATAATTTTAGAGAAAGGCATCTGGCAGGCGGAATGATTACGTTCAGCTTGCCGTTAAGCAAGCAGTAAGGCAGCCTTTTAAAAGCATATTTGCACAAAATTCAGAAGTTAATAAAAATTTCTGGTTTTTTTTTACTTTTCCATCGATTTTTCTAGTGTCCAGCTATTTTCCGCCCAGAGGAACCGAAAAGACGATGGCATAAGTGGTGATAAATAGATAAAATTTACAAAATAACTATCAAATTTGATGTGTTTTTTTATTATTGGATGAAAATGTGAGTATATCAAGTTGATGATAAAGCGGATCGCAATGCAAGTTAGCAGGTCATATAGTAGCTCAATTTCATACTATACAACCTACTACCTCAGATTGCAATCTACATTAAAAACGATGGAACTTGAATATCTACCTATTTCCGAATTCATTTGTATATACTTCATTTGGGTAACTTTTTTCCAACAATGTCCTTCCATAGCTGACAAGAATTATACATTTGCTGCATGTATTTTATTCCAAAACATTCTTCTCATTACGTAATTCCTGCAAGTTTGCATAATTTCAAGAATGGCAATCCTTGGGTTGATACAATGTTGAAAGTGCCGTAAATAAATACAAAATCGAGAATTTTTGATGAGAGAAATCGATCAAATCAATAGTTTTTATAGAACATGTTTGACATCATTTTAAAAACTTTCTTTTAAGGTTGACTGGCACTCAAAAAACTGTCACAATTTGTTCGGTTACGTTTCAGAGTGAAAAATTGACAGCTTCGGTATCGTTTCACAAATTAACTTCGTTGCATTCAGATCCCGATAGATTTTCGAAATATATTCATTTTCGGGTTATAGTTTTAAACAACATTAATCCCAACCGATTTGGCGGATCGATTTCATTTTCCATTAATTATTTTTAAAATCATTATTACGTGCTTCTATTGTAGTTTTGATATATTCGCCGCATACAGTTCGAAAAGAAATTTCATCCATTATTTTTTTTAAAATCATATATTTAAACCGGCCACGAATATTTCCATTATCAAAGTTTCTATAAAAGTTTCATGAAGTTTACTTAGAAAATGTATCTATATTTGACGTGTATGAAGTTTGTTTCAAAAAATCAAACTATGCGACAAAAGTGAAAAACTTGAATCTCCGTAGCTTAACTCTGAAAACCACATGAAAACAATTTTGAATTCTGCACAAAGCGACGCGTTGGCATTTTGATCGCAATTTCTATAAAATTGACAGTGCTGTCAAATGATTAAATGAAAACTTGATGATGGATAGAAAAACACTATATTCGGCAAATGTCTTTTGCTCTTAGCAGTGTTACCATGGCGATTCGATGGATACAATGTTGAACATTTTCAATATCAACAGATTCCCATAATTCCGTACTTGCGAAACTCAAATAATGCAGCACAAGTTCGGATCTACGGGTTTCTGTAAAATGAATTTTTTTTTCCGGATCAATTATCCTTTTTGCAATTCTCACACCAACAGCTACTTTTGAACGGTGGCAAATCCCTTGAAACATTTTATTCTCTTTGCAATTATCAATTATTTTTTACAATAATAACACAAAGAAATCAGCAAAATGAAAATTGTTACCGTTTTATTTCCATTGTAACGAAGCTTTTCGCTCGAAATGCGTCCATCTGAAATGAAGAAAAAAGCGAGTGTTTTAAATTAATTAAATGCTATGCACATTTGATATGAACATTTAATAATCGTGCAGAAAATGATAGACAGAGGCGAATTAATTACATTAAAATTTATGGTTTTATGGTTTGTATGAAATGTGGATATTGGCATTGTATGACCCTTTTATGTGTGCAAAATAGACGTTGGAATCGCCGGAAGTGATAAAAATATTGCTGATAAAAATCATTTCTTCGAATGTGGTTGATTGCAATCTCATTGTCAACGTATTTTTTTTCTTTCACTTTTTTGTTGTTGCATTTTTCTGTTTGGTCTTCACTTTTTTTCGTTGGTAGCGCCCAAAGCGCCGTCTATGAATTGCAATAAATGCATCTGACTGACTATGGCATCAAAGTGAAAGTTGCAACTACATTGCTTCCTTCTTGACAGGTCAAATGACTGAATATATAAAGTGTATAGATAAAATCGTGCGAGATCATATAACAAACGCCAGGTGTATGGAGCTGGAAATTACAGAGAAAAAAATATCCGTTTTACATTATCTGCCTATATTTAACGATTGTCATCGTGCGTTTGACATAGTCGGGGTTAACAGTTTTAATATAAAAATAAATTACGTATGTGACAGTTTTAAATGGTGCCCGTGGCTGAACTCGTTGCAATGAGTTTATTCATTCATATTTTTATTATGTACTAAGAGAGAGACACTTGAGTTTGTTTTTTATTTGTATTGGTTTTGGAATGCATATAAGTGGATAACAAACCAGAATTATTAACATTCATGCGGTGACGTGTTCACATTTAAAATCCTAATTGAAACGTGCAAAAGTATCAAACAACGATTGGAAAAATTGTAATGGAACCAAAAAAAGGGAAAAAAGTGTACAATGCCACTGATATGACGTAGACTTGGTGCACATTTATTTGTAAGGCACCGTAATGACAAGAGAGATATGTGACGTCGCGATTCGATTAACACATACAGTTGATGTGTCTGCATCTCATTTTTTTGCCTACATTCGGCTCGAAATATTGAAGATTTTTGCCTTTTAATAGGCTTATGAACGCATTCAACCAAATAAAACTGGTCATAATACACGCGTGAATTGCCCTCCTCTCACACTTTTCTTCTATCTCCCTCTCAATCGCACTCACACACTCTCTCTCTATCTCATTCATTCTGTTCTTCTCTCTCTCTACAACTCTCCCGCTCTGACTTTCTCAAATTACTGTGCACATATCCAACGACAACAGAAACCGACAAGAATGTTTTTTTGCCTCATTTTGTTTCTGTATTGCGCGATTATTACTCTTTTTTTTCTGCATTGTGTTTCGAATTTGATTTCGCGATGTTGCCGTATGTGTCGCATCGTTGCGTGCGCGTTACATCAACAACAACAACAACAGCAGCAGCAAAACACATATGTGAATGGACGGAACAGATTTTCTGCTGATTTAATTAACTTTCTCTTTTTGTTTTGCAATTCCATTGATTTTTATTTCTGCCTTAATTCTCCTATTGAATGTCTCTGGCCGTCGGACAGCGAAATAATATTTATTTTTCTTCATCATTTTTTTTTTATTTCAATTCCAAACATATTTTTTTTGCTCGATTGCGAAAAATGTAGTGCGAAAAAGCATATTAAACATAAATACGATTATTTTTTGCAGTTTCACCAAAAATCCAGATATTTCGTTAGCACAAATGAATTGTCGCTAATGATTTTACAGCATATTCAGTCATCGCCATAAATTTGCTAAATGAAAACGTGGTCATTTCTCTCTTGCACTGTTTCTCAGCCACAATTTCGATTCCAATTTCGCCAGTAAAAAAATCAAAAACAAACACACACAAACACGTCGAATTCAATGTCAATGGCGAGATAATCAAATTACAGCGCACAAAACGGTTTTTGCATATCTCATATCAATTTTAATGGTGAACGGTTTTTGTGTGTACCTATTTTTGTGCATATATAACTTTTCGGCCCAAAATGTCAATTTTAATTTTTGCCAATTGAGGTCATGCTGTAAATATTCGCGCGTCGCATTTCCGATCGTGCCGTCAATGTACAACGGCTTTTTGCATTTTAATATGTATTTGAGGCGCGTGTGTCAAATTTGAAGTAAATAAAAAAGCCACATACACCAATCATGCATATATGGTTGGAGCCAATTATTATCGAAACGAGCCCAAAATGCGATTTGTCATGCATTACATTTCCATATACCGACCAAAATATAAGACCAAAACGTATGGCAAAATTGATGAGCTAGGCAATTTTATCAGAAATACAATTACAGTGGAAAAACGAAACACCATTTGCATCGACTATAAATTCATGCCTTTGATTTTTGCATGGAAACGCCATGAATTCGCGTATTCATATCAAAACTTCAATTATTGAATTTCTTTCTCTAGAAATTTGACTAGATTTTGCTAGGAAACCAAATCATGTGAAGTATCGAATTAAAAGTTTTTCTATTGTGCTTAATGGCTAAAGGGGCTGAAGGAAGATTATTCACGAATGAAAAAAAATATGGATGTTCAATTCTGTTTATTGAAAGATATTGGAAAAAAATGCGTGTATGACCATTTGAGAAATCTAAACGCAAAAGAAGAAGAAAATTATTATTTTTTTATCCGAACGCATACGCATTAAATGCGAGCAAAGGAATAC